TCTTCATTTTTTATTAGTTACAGATGGTTGCTGTTCAGTTTTACAATAGCAACACATGATTGTTGCTCAATGATCAATTAATTACAGATGGTTGCGAGCATAGCTATATAATTCGACAGCATGTGCTTGTAACTTGATCCTTTGTTTACACAAGCCTGTCCGCTTAATAAATAGTTTTATAAGTTCTTTGAAACGGATTAAATGCAACTGTAAAACTTTAAGAAAACAAATGGTACATTTATTAGCTCTAAAAATAATTAATGTGTAGTTGTGCGTTACAATGTGCATTCATGTTAGAATGAGAAAAGGGTAATTTGGATTTATTTCGTATTTAACAAATTTGTCAATGCCGATACATTTAGTGTTAGGATAGAGAAAATAAAAGATGAAATAAAAGTTTTACTGAAAAAAATTGATATTCATTTAGCAGGTTCTAGAGATTATGCAAATGAAACATAAAAAAATATAAGTTGAAAAGAAATATTTTTATTCTTAGCATGAAAATCACCTTGCACTCAGACTGACTCAGTAAAATCACCTTACACTCAAACTAATTCAGTAAAAGCTTCAGAATTTAACAGTTTCAAAGATACATTTTTAATAGAAACACTTTACTAAAAACTTAAATTTTATGTACAACAGATTTGTTTACTAAAAGTTGCCAAATTTCGTGATTGGAATTTCGCGCAAAGCTCCACGAGGGCTATTTGCGCTAGCCGTCCCTAATTTAACAGTGAAAGACTAGAGCTAGTCATCACCACCCAACTCTTGGACTATTCCTTTATCAACGAATAGTAGGATTGACCGTCACATTATAACGCCCCCATGGGTGGCTGAAAGGGCGAGCATGTTTGGTGGGTCGGGGATTCGAGTCAAGCGCCCTAACCACCTGATTATGCCGGGCCACCAAATTTCGTGAAGATACATATAGTAAATTTTGAATTGGATGACCTCGTACATATAGGGTTAATGCCTAAAAAATGGACTGATTGAAAGACATTATGTATCACAATCCACAAACATTAAGAGAATATAGAAAAGGTTTGTGCAATTGTTGTATAAAGCTAAGTTGGAGTGCAGTGTACAGCAAGAAACTCAAAAAGAATGTCTGACACTATTTGACTTTATAAGAAACTAAAATTCAGAATTATTATATTATTCTTGTGACAAACAGCATTTGAACCATCAAGGCTTTGCTTAAGAAGAGATTACTTATTTCTGATATTCACAAAAAAGCTACATAAGAACTATCTAGATTAGCTATTCTTAATTTTGAAGTAACAACCTAGATTGAAGGCAGTCAACAGCATCTACTGAGCAATGCAAATTGAAAAGAAGGATTTGATCATTACTCTTATAAAATACTTATGTATGCAACAGACGTGTAATTTCCCCGAAAGGCCGCCTGGAGGGATCACCTGTTATAACCACTCGCACCATTATACACTAGTGTGTTGTCTGTCAGTCAGTCAGTAGACACTAAAATGACGTTACATAAGGGACGCTTAACGATGCACATTGTATTTTCGTGACGTCATTAAAACGTGCGCATGCCTTGAATCACGAGAATAATTATGCACTCGGTAGGCTACAAAACAGCATGACATATGAACCTCCAAAGCAAGAAATATAAAATATTTGTTACTCTTAATTTTGCTTTTTATTTACTTTTTAAACAGAACATGTTCGGGGACACTGCAGAAGTACATCTAGTAATACGTATAGTTTCCTGGTTATGAGGTTGGTCAAAACGACCGACCTCCTTCAAAACAACATAGAAATACGTTACACAACATCACCCTTACTATCACTCTTGATGTATTTGTGTATTTTGTTATGTGTGGATATTGTTTTCCTTATCTAACCAAATACTAATTTTATTTAACTTATTTGTAATAACAATTATTATGACATTAGGTGCAAATTTTGTAGCAAAATTGTTTTGTCTGTGTTAAATATATTAGAAACTGTGAGGTTCCAAATATTTTTAGAATTTATAACACCGAAAAGGAATGAGGTATATTAACTTCCAAAAGGAAATTACCAAAGAATTCAGTGGTATTATAACTTCCATGAAGGTATTATCCAAAGGTTAAACGGTATAATAACATCTATTACCATAAAGATATTATTAACATGTTAAATGGTATAATAGCTTCCACAAAATTATTATCAGAAAGTGACAATAATTTTACTAGAGATCGAAGACATACGTAGCCTTTACAAAATTATTATCAGAAAGTGGTGACGAGAAAGGTAATAAGGTGTAATAACTAATTTCGATGAAGATAACAAAAGATAAAGCTTAGTTTGAATTTCGCGCAAACCTACACAAGAGCTACCTGCGCTAACCTTCCCTAATTTAGCAGTGATAGGCTAGAAGGAAGGCAGCTAGCCTAGTCAACTCCACCCACCGCCAATTCTTGGGATATTCTATCACCATCGAATAGTGGGATTGACCGTCACATTAAAACGTCCTCACGGTTGAAAGGGTGAGCATGTTCAGTGAAGGAGATTCGAACCTGAGGGCCCCAGTTTGTGAGTCGAGCACCTTAACCACCAGGCCATGCCGGACCAAAGATAAAGTAGTATAATAGGTTCTGCGAAGATATTATCGGAAGTTGGCCATATTTAACTTCCATGAAGATACAGTCAGAAGATGACAAGGTTTGATAACCCCATGGAAATAAGACTAGCATGTGATGAAATATAATAAATTCCGCGAAGATATTTCAGAAGGTAATGACGTGTGATAACGTCATAAAGCATTACCGGAAGTTGACAAAATATAATAGTTTCTATGAAAATACTGTCAGAAAGTGACGACGTTTATTAACCTTGTTAAAAATATTATCAGAAAGTGACAATAACTTCCGTTAAAACATTATCAGAAAGTAACATTAACTTCCGTTAAAATATTATCAGGAAGTAACAATAACTCCCCCTTCAAATATTAACAAAACTGACGACGTAAACTAATTTTACAAAAATAATACCAGAGGATTACGCACACATATATTTAAATATATCTCGTAATATAAGCTTGAAAATTAAGAGATTTAAGATTTTTTTAAAAGAAAAGACAGAAATAGTTTATTTGAGTTCTGCCCACAGCGGGCATTGAAACCCGATTTTTAACGTTATAAACCCTTAGACTAACAGCTGAACCACAGAGGAACAAAAAAAGACTAGTGTTCTGCAGCAGCAATTAAGAATGTGGATTTAATGAATTGTACAAAATTTTATCAAGACACACAGTAATGTATCATTCGGCCAAAGGCCCGGCATGGCCAGGTGGTTAGGGCGCTCAACTGGCAATCTGAGGGTCGCGGGTTCGAATCCCCGTCACACCAAACATGCTCGCCCTTTCAGCTGTGGGGGCGTTATAATGTGACGGTCAATCCCACTATTCGTTGGTAAAAGAGTAGCCCAAGAGTTGGCGGTGGGTGGTGATGACTAGCTGCCTTCCCTCAAGTCTTACACTGCAAAATTAGGGACGGCTAGCGCAGATAGCCCTTGTGTAGCTTTGTGCGAAATTTAAAACAAACCAAACCATGCGGCCAACAAAATACTAAACCGCACGACACCCAGTGTGCTATTAACAGGAATGAAAACTTTGGTTTTTTAACCATCGTATAATCGCCTCCTTTAATGAAAACTCTCTCCTATTTTTTGTATGGAAGGTTCCCAAGTATTCTTACCTTGCATACAATATTTCAAATAAATCACTTTAACCCCTATCGTTTTACAGCAGCACTCTGCCCACCAAAGGTATCGAAACCCGCTTTCTAGCGTTGTAAGTCCGCAGACATACCGCTGTGCCAGTGTGGGGCGTGTGAAGAAGAAGAAGAAGGAGAAAATGAAGAATTTCAGGCTAAGTTTGGCCAGATAACCCATTGTGTAGCTTTGTGCTTAATTAAAAACAAAAAAAATATTCTTCGCACCAGTGAAAACAAACTTTCCTTTAACTGATTTCTTTCAAATTAGACACATAACTGACATATATGTTCCCTGAGCTTGATAGCAAATTTAGTTATAGTAGATCAATTTTCCTCGAAGAAAAAGGCAAATATTAGCAAACAATATGCTAAAATCTTGTAAATACTTGCGCTCGCCTGGAGACAAATTGGCTAAATCTATCTCACTGAAATTTCTATCACACATTAAGGTATTTTTGAAAGTGGCTTGTTTTCAATCGTATAAAAATCGGACGCGAAATCCGAAAGTTATAAGCCCTGAACCACCATCGTGTAACAATTTTGCGTACTACTTTGCATCTAACTTCAAACTAATAAAAACGCTTCCCGGTACGTGATTGCCTTCGTTTCTGGCGTAAAGCTAACAACATATTTTACAAAATTTGTAGAGTATGCATATCTACTACAAGAAATCACATGGTCCACTGTTTTTTGTTAAAACGGCAACCCATACAGCATACTCTACAAATTTTGTATAATTATGAATACTCAGTCACAATAATTTATATTAAATTCTAATCATCAGTATTTTCTGATTTTGGCTGCAAACTTTAATTTCGCCACTTTCCGTCGCAATCCCCCCCTTTTTTCCAGCTATGCTGGTTTTGATTAGATATAGAATATATGAGACATTGTGGTCATTTCCAATCAACCCAGAACAGAACTTGCAAACTCATGCATACTCGAGCAACAACCGTGAAACAGCAAGGTGTACGCCAACAGGAGGCGTTTCCTCTGGCTGTACAAACAACTGTACAATAGAACTGGAAGAAGGGGTTTTCAATTAGTTTACATAAGCAACTATAGAAAATGTTCCAAGTCTTGATTTCTTAAAAATGACTCGTTTTGCAGTTTACCTTCACAACATCCTGGATATCTGGGGCAAGCAGGTACTGTCTTCCATTTCTTTGTTTGGCTTGGTATGGCCTGGTGGTTAGGACGTTTGACTCGCAATCGGATTACGGGTTCAATCCCCGTCACCAAACATGTTCGCTGTTTCAGCTGTGAGGACGTTATAATGTCAATCCCATTATTTGTTGGTAAAAGAGTAGCCCAAGTGTTGGCTGTGGATGGTGTTGACTAACTGCTTTCCCTCTTGTCTATCACTACCGAATTAAGAACGGGTTAGCGCAGATAACCCATGTGTAGTTTTGCGCCAAACTACTTTTCTGGAACTTAGCTTTGAAAAGTTTAGATATTAGTAATGTATGCACAAGACATATCTACACATCTTAATGTTTTCCAATATTAAAAAAAAGAAGACTTACGCCATTCCTGTCGAAAAGTACGATCATCCGATATCTTCTTCTAAAACATGTTGGAGGTATTTCTTTCAAATATCTTCACAACAACAACGACGATTTTATTATGTTGAACTATCAGCAACAAAAGTAACTTCTAAACTTTATTATTTTTAGCCAATGCTCTCCGTCAGAAGCGCTCTCCTTTCACGACGCCTTGTTGTAAGACTGTTTCACGCAATCTAAAGGAACTTGTGTTTATCTCGTAACAAATGAAAGTATTGAGTGTTGTACAATGAACGAGATATATATCTCCACTGGAAGATGCTAAAAATAGGTCAAGAAAACGTCTTGGAATCAAACGATGTTTGTGATTGGTCAACAGCACATGACGATTGTTCACCTCAACCGAGTCGGTCTAGCGTTTTCTATATATATATTTATTTTTACTCGAAAGGTGTTGTTATAGGACTACCTCTGTCTAGGAAGTTTTTGAAGACGTTTCGAGTTGTTAGCGCTGCTGAAGATCCGCGCTAACATTTGGAAACGTCGTCCAAAACATCCTAGATAGATGCAGTTTATAAACAATGCCCTTCAAGTAGACTCTCCTTTGTCCAAACCTTCTCTCAAACATGTAATTTTTTTTACAAGACGTTTATGAGCACCTGAAAGTTTTTCGATCAGACAATTAATTTCGTTTTCGTTCTTTACTACCTTATCAATTGTAGAATATTTAAAATTTTTATTGCGATCCGTTATCATCTTTACA